TAATATCAATAATTATTTTACTTCATTATTTTCTGAGTACATGTCGCTCTTTTTACATCCTGTTGGGCGCCAGCTTCAACTATTGGATGCTGGTGTGCGCACTGCGCAGCAGAGTGAAGACAAGCGACAGCTATCGATTAGAAGATACTGGATCCTCTATGTATACATACGGTATGCGGGTATCCGACCTGTACTGCATATCTTGATGTTACAAACGATTCAGAATCGTATGAATATACAGTTATTTTTGCTTTATTGAGCTGGTTGAAGTTCGTACCGTATTAATATTATTCATAATTTTCGGCTTCACAAAAGCAACCGGTTCTGCAAGCCGGTTTATAAACTTGTACTCTGTACGTACTTGTACTAATGTAGCAGTGTGTGCACTGCATCATGCATGTACAGACTGTAGACGGCATTCTGGCATTGCAGCTCACTGAGCTCAGCATTTACTGCTACAAGCGTAGTACACACAGTCACACACAGACACTCTATACTTTTTCATGATTTTAGAATTTAGCTGATAGAGCGCTCTGCACAGTCTGCAGTATTTTCGTTCTGTTTGGATCTCTGAAATTTGAAATTTACGTTGCATGACATTTTCGTTTTCGGTTGCAGCGGAAACTGGAAAGCACCATAGAAGGCTGTCGGAGTGGTATATTGTCGTTAGTTAATATGGACAGCAGTAAACTACAACTGGTTTTCGATACGAACGCACTGATTTATCCCGTAGGACTCCGAATGTTTCAAAATATTGTGGAGAATGCGGGGAACACGCTGCCACCAGATTCAACGATTGTCATTCCTCTAGTGGTTTGCCGGGAACTGTGTAAGAAATTGCGGGAATGCCAGACATGTGCTAACAGAAAAAAGAAGCTACATTTGAAAGACAGAATTACCAACGCCTTCACCTGCGTGATCAAGAATATTATGAGATCCTTCATGGATGATCTTGTCAAGATTAAAAGATCCGGCAACAACGCGATCGTTGATGTCCGTATTACGGAATCCTTGGATGACGTGCTCAACAAGATTAAAGAATCCTTTAGCAACGTGATCAACGATGAAAATATTATAGGATCTTTAAACGACGTGATCGACAAAATTATACGCTCCTTCTCCAACGAAATTACCAATGGCAATGACAATATTAGAGGAACATATAAAACGGATTCCCGTTTGCATTTTCAAACAGCATTTCTTGCAGATTATTTGCAAACCATTTTTTATCCCATGGATGGGAAATACCATTCGGGCAACGATAGCGAAATACTGATTTACGCCCTATTTTTGCGCCACACCGAAAACGCTAACGTTTGGCTAATAACTTCCGATAAAGAACTACAAGCTCGCGCTGCGCGAAGTGGACTGACATTTATGGACGTGGTTGCGTTGCAAAATGCCATGACACTGCGATGCTACGACAGACTAAATCCTAAGGGCGGCGATTACCATACATGGAGTACTTCGCCAGGAACTCCTGTTAAAATGACCTTTTCTTGTGGCGAGAGTATCAGTTTCGTGGCTTCGTCGTACCGGGACCGTGTACAAGCCTTCGAGCATTTGGAGCGGGAACGCGCAGCCGCCCTGCGTACGGGAGTTAAGCACAGCACATCATATCCGAGCGCCGTCGCTGTGGAAACACAAGCCTGTGAAAAAAAGAAACAATTTATACCAAATGCAACTCAAACTGCTGCTGCGGGGAAAAAAGCTAAAATTTATGTAACAGGCAAAACGGAATTTACGCGGTGCCCTTTGGATGCATACGATTTTCCGGAAACGTCTGACAGCTCCTTAAGAACTAATTCAGAGCTCCTTCGGTGCGGACTCAGTGTTACGTCCGCGTGTAAGAACGTTGCGGATTTTAAAACGGCTGACATTTCTGGTAGATACAAGCCATCCCGACGCGCACATAACGCATTTGCTGTGTACAAGGCCCTTAGTGGTCTCGATAATTCTGAAAGTGTATATGCAATCAATGACCAATACACCCGGCCTGCACACGCCACTGCATCCGTTTATAGTTGCGCTGCTGCTCCCGAAGAGTCATGTTTTTACAACAGAAACCCAGAAGCGAGTTCCCGGTCTGATTATCGTACCACATCGTTAGATGCTACATCGTTTGTTCCACTTAAACGTGAGTATCATCATGAGGATGCCGATTTTCTTCCCCGAACTGTCCGAATTCGGTATCATCATGCTACTACATCCGAACAGACAACCGATGATATCTGTACAGCCGCTCAGCTTGCACAACACAACCCACCAGCAATTTCCATCGCGAAATATGTTTTCCTGAAATATTTATTCTTGCTACTGGAACTTTTTCTCGTCGGATCAGTGAAATTTTTTCTCCTGCTTCTGGAATTTTTTTCTGCTTTGTTCCGGATTTCCGCTGGGCTCTTCGTAATCACGGCGATGATGTTTATTCTACTTGACCGATCTGAGACGGTGAAATTACTTCAAGATCTTGCCAGAATACAACAGTTAGCACTTCCAGTGTTTTGGTACTGGTGGGACGACGTCAAGCAAGCCAGCAACATTTATGTGCAGAACAATGCCGGGAATTTCACATAAAACTAATTTTTCTTTGCGCTGGCAATTAATACTGTTGCCTTGAGCTGCCTGATTGAACTGCAGTACTCGTGCTATTGGACCACTATGTTTTCTACTTGCATCTATTAAACTTTCAGAACAAAACTAACAGTACAAGGAAAAACACATGTTACATAATAGTACAAGTGGAAAATACTCGTACATGGGAAATTTCGGCACCAGCACTATTATACTGTAGTATCTGTATGGTGACTTTCTTTGTATTTCGCTTACACAACGCCGGATTCTTATATTTGCAGAAACTCGACAAACATAAAAACAATTATTGATCGTATTTGAAAATACTTATAAATAAGCATGCTCACTCACGGCACGGTCCGGACATGCAAAAATTTTCAAGGTGTGTTTTTAATTTTATCCACAATATCCCACCGTATCATCTATGTGGATCGTAGACCTTGCGTAATGTCGTTCGGTTCGTTCAGTAGTGCCACTTTCACTGAAAGTACAATGTAGTAGTACGAGTACAGTACTAGTACGTCGGTGTGTTTATAAAGCAGACAGGTTTCTGATTACTACAGAGTAACCTGAAAACTAAATGCTCGAGCGGGCTAGTTGCAGCAGTGCCTACGAACATGTACTGACAAAAAGATCTGAGCACTCCGCAGAGCTGGCAGCTGAATGTACGGAATTACTAGTATAGGTCTCAGCAGCCCTAAGGGCAAGCAAGCGAGCGACCTGTAGACATTAGAAGCTTTCGGCAAACGCTCCGCTTAACCATACCCATACACTAACCATACTGTATGGTTAAGTGCGAGTGTATGGTAAGTGTGGATACCATACAAACGCGTCGTATGGTGATCGACTTCCAAAGGCTCCTCTTAATGCCCATACAACTTTGTGTCCCCGAACATGATATTTTCAAGCAGATCAAACATTTATCAATATAAGTTTTCCTGTTTCAAGTGATAACAGTAAACACAAAATGAAAGAAAAAAATAATTCGGAGGGCACCAAAAAGCCACATGCGCGCTGCAGCTGCAGTACTTTGTACACTGCCACCTCCGTGGCGGTCAGCCACACCGCAAGCAACAAGTGTTTTTTTTCGGCATTTCACGTCTTTTAAAAAATTTTACTACACTTAAGATCTTCGTTATTTCTTAACTCTTTTAAAATGGAGACCTCAGAAGACCTTGCCCAGTCTAACGCCAAGAATCGCCGTAATCGCTTCACGTCAGACCTTGACTTGTTACTGGCGGAAGAAGCCAGCGAACAGAACCCGTATGCAGCTCGGAATCCGAGGGAATGCTGGGAAAAGATCGCCGAAAATCTCACCGCGACGAAGGTAGACGTTTTCTCGTATCATATTGCGTTCTCAAGCAGAATCTATTTATTTCTGTTTATTATATCCAGAAATTCAAAATTCCGTTAACCGACCGCGCATGTCAGACACGTGTGGACAAACTGGTCGACGCGTTCATCAAACAAGATCTGCGAAACCTTGTCCGAACTGGCACCGAAGAACTGTATGGCCGCATCGAATCAGCCCTTTCCTCTTTGGCTGCCAGCAAACGTGATGCCGTGGCGCTGAGTGAGCAGAAAAAGCAGCAGAAGGTGTTAGAGGCCCAGAAACGGAATGCTGAAACTGCGGCCATTCAGAGCGCGGGAGAAGCGACGTTCACAAAAAAGAAACGCACTGACGATCTTGCTGATTACCGTCTCCCCTCCGCCAGTACATCGGGTGACATTGACGGATCCGATGACGATGTGTGGTTGGATTCTGAAGCCGAAGAAGAAGCGGCCATGCAAAAACCGGACTTCGACCCTGAAAAATTTGAACGCGAGAAGGCTGGACGGCGATTGCGACAGAGGCGCGCCCGCCCGGCCAAAGCGAAAGCTCCAAAAATGTCAGCTGAAATGGAAGCGGTCAAAGCAATTGCTGAGGGCGACAAACTCAAATGTAAATTGAAGGAAAAAGAACTGCAGCAGACGCGCGAATTTAAAGAGAAGGAGATGGATCAAGAGAAAGAGCTGAAAGAAAAGCAAATGGAACAAGAAAAAGAATTACGCACTGCAGAAGATCAGCGTAAATACACAATACGTATGCGAGAACTAGATTTACAGGAACGGGAAATCGCCTGCAGAGAGCGCGAACTTGCACTGAAAGAAAAAATGTGTGGCGGGTAATTAGCTGCTATAAATTGTCTACCAGAAACGGCTAACAATAAAACATAAGAAACCAGGATACAATTTTAATCATCCAAAAGTACTAGATATTCATCCAGGCTGGGTGGTTCTAAACCAAAATACTTGCTGGCTTGATTATGGTGCAAAAAGTTATGACAATTAATAAGTATAACAGCTACGCGATACAACTTATTTATGGGATTAACGTACATTCGCATCTGCTTTTTAAAATCAAGAAAAGCGAACTTAGAAACAACCTATTTGAAGCCCCATTCGACAGGTTCCCTTACCCGAGACATAGCTTTATTCAACATTTTTTTACGACGGTCATTCATAACTTCCACTTTCGAGAACGGTTTCTTCACAAGGTCACCTCTTCCGTAGCCCGAGTCACCATAAAGACAAAACCTTTCTGGACCTGCAAATGTGGCGAATTTCTGCTGCAGCGCATCCAAAACTTTGCTTGAGGTCAAAAGAGTACTGTCGTGCATGGATCCGCGGTGTCCTCCATATAAGCTACCAATCATCCCGTTTGGTAGAAGAATGGCTTGCCATTTCGAGCAGTGGTGGCGCTTGTGCCCGCTAAAGCACTGTCGCTGGTAAAATTTTGGACGACTGATCGGTCGAGCAGTTCCGTCAATGAAACCAAAACATCCACGCAGCACGCCTCCTTTCGCGGCAACGGCGCCTGTGTACAGAATGAAATCTTCTTCTGTAAGCCAGGCCTGGTTCCACTCCTCCAGAAGCCATCTGAATGTCTTGTCGATGTGATTCAGCACCCACATGAATATACCACACAAGCTGCTCTCAGAACGTCCAAAAAACATTCGCAGATCAATCCATCGCGAAGGATATACAAGACGGCGCAACAAGATGCACAGAGCTTCCACACCTGATGCACGCTCGCGTCGTGTGGTTATTACGACGTCAGGGATCATTAGGCGCTTTCGGAGATCTTCGATCTCGGGCATCGTGAAACGGAAATATCGCCAGCTTTCACGTTCGGAGAAAACACGCGGATCAAAAGCAAAGGGAACCCAGTCATCTCGCAGCTTTCGCTTCTTCAGTATACAGAGTAGTAAAAGAAACTTGCGCCGAGAGATCAGTTTGCGCTTGTAAAGAAGAAAAAGATAAATAAATTTCATTTTCAAAACTGAATAACAAAATCCAAATTATGAATATCAAAATCCAAATGATTTTGATAACATTTAAAAGTATAAACTGCGACGTGCTATATACGCTTAGCATAAAAGCAGTGTTAAGAGAGACTGAAGCGAAAGCTTCTATTTGTTGAAGTTATTACACAAACAGTATGAAAGATGGACCCCTATTGCAGCTGTGTGCAGGGCAGTAGGAGTTCAAACACCTAGTATATTTTTTTGCTTAAATCGAAAACAAAACAAAAGTTACGTGCAGAAGCAACGTGCAGAAATAAAGGTTTATTAATTTATAAACCTAGTAACACTGTTTGATATGGGATGACATTGTTCAGGATGTTCGACAATCGGCAACAACTTGCGTTCACATGATCTAAACGACAAAACATTTTCAGTTTAAACATTAGACGGAACAGTGTCCAAAACACTGAGCATTACCATTGTATAATTAGTCCTAACGGCACTTAAATGAATTTTGTAGTGTTGGTGCAAGTAAGGACTTCAAAATTATTTTCTTAAAGAGTAACAATTTTCTTTGGCACATAATAATAGTGCGGCAAAATTTAATACGACTGCAACCCTTTTACTTTGTGCAAAATTCTATTATTGCACCGATATAATAGGGGTATACCGTCAGCGTTAAATTCTTTGTTTTATTCGAAAATTAAGTTCTATCGATAAGCATGTTTGTTTATTGTTTTCTTCGTTTTTAATTTTCAATTTTACACGATAAAACAATCAGCAGAATATCACGGATGACCAAGAATCCTGATGCCACCCCCAAAGTGGAGAAACGCTCAAAGGGGGGAAAAGATTTGTAAAATTGTTGTACATAATATAGAATGACGCAAATATCATAATTAAACGTTTCATCATACAATCGTAACTACTACCACGACGTCACTGTTGCGATGCCAGCTGAGGAAAAAAAAGCCTCAACTTCCGCAAGGATATAAATTATGCAACTGGGAAGCACTGCTGTATCTGTACAGTCTAGTCAACTTGGCATTTTTTCGAATGGCGAGATGCATCCGATTTAATAGTATTAAACTCAGTGTACGAAATGGTGGTGCAAAGCGAGTCGACAAAAAAATTTCTGATTGTGACGTATCTTGAAAAAATCAATGCTATTTCAAGATATTCCAAAATATTTGAAAATATATTGAGAAATAATTAAAAATAAATAGAGGTACTTAGAAATGTGTAGAAATATTAGGAACAATTTGGAATATTTAAAAATGTTTGAAAATCTATGTAGACATATTTAAAACTATTTGAAAGTTTATTTAAAAATCTTTAAAAACTTTTAAAAATAGTTAAAAATATTCAGAAAAAAAATTAAAAAATATTCTGAAAAATTAAAAAATATTCAGAAATATATTCAGAAGTATTTATAAATACTTTTAAATATGTATATTTATAAATACTAATAAATATGTTTAAGTATATTTACTATATTTTGGTAATACATATTTGTTATACTTAGAAGTGGAAATACTTGCAAATACGTACGGAGAAATATTTTCTGACATATTTCTAGAAACAATTGAAAATATATATCAAAATATCAGAAATCTTTGGAAATATAATTGGAAATGGTTTAGAAAATATTCTAGAAGTATATTTTAGGGTTTATTTTTATAAGATATTTTAGAGGTGTTTTGAAATAACATAGAAATTTCGAGCAGACTTTCAAATGTTTAATTTGTTCTGCTTATCTTATAATTAATTCAATTTACTTAATTTTTTTAAATATTAAATATTTTCAAAATATTTACGAAGTACATAAAAAATTATTTGGAAATATTTTTAGAAACAAAAAGAATATTAAAAACAATTGTCAAATTTTTTTTCTTTTCGTCATTTCATAATTAATTTTAATGATCTGCTTTTTTAAATATTTAATATATCTAAAAGTATTCACGAATATTTTTAAAAATATTTGGAAAGATATTTTGAAAAATTCAAAAATAAGGAAGACAGGGAAAGATTCAACTGATTTTCGTTATATAATAATTAGTTAAATTTAGTCAACCTATTTAAATGTTTACTGTTTTTTAAAATATTCGGATTTTTTAAAATATGTCTAAAAATATTTAGAAATAAACAGGAACATTGGAAAGCTTTGCAAAAAATTCTGAAATGTTTAAAATAATTTAGCGGATCTTAAAATTTTCCAAATTTTTAAAAAATTTTTTAGTTATTAAGAAATATATATTTAAAGAAACTCTTAGAAATATTTAGAAAAATAGAAAGAAATACTTTGAGAAGTATTTTGAAATAATGACGAGTAATTAGAAAGATTTTGAAACATTCATTTATTTTCAAATTTTTTAAGATTTTGGTTGTTTTTAAAACTAATGAGAATAACAACATCAAGCCCTTCGTAAAAAATACTCGATAAATCTTTTAAAATATTTGTTAAGCACTGCTTGAAATAATTCAAATGAGTTACACAAAACACGTCAAAAAAATATTTCAAAATGTTTTAAAAGTATTACTTTTTTGTAAAAACAGCATATTAAAACCCTGGAGTATCACCAAAACTTTCCATACACCAAAACCCTTAAAAAAAATCGGATACTTCGGTTAGACTCGCTAAATTAAACTACACAAAAAAAAAACGAAAACCTGGTGGCGACCTCGGGGAACCCGAGACCTCGAACCCGGGTACCTCCGTTAGACTCGCCACATCAAACTGTACCAGAAAAGTGCCAAATCTTGGTGGCGACCTCGGGTACCCAGCGACCTCGAACCCGGGTTCCTGGGTTCCTCGATGCCATTCGACGCAGCGTGTCGAGTTGTGTAGGTTAGCACCAAAAACTTAGTGGCGAACCCAGGAACCCGGGTTCGAGGTCTCCGTGTCACAGAAAACTCAAATCTCATCTATAATAACGCAAGCTCGCTTCGCTCGCTTGCTTGATTAATTTTGACGTTACAATTTCGGAATTTTATGTGACCACCAGATACGGACAAAATATTCCCCATTGAAGTCATCCTAATTTTTTGAAAGCTTTCCTAATTACCTCCTGTATTTTTAGTTCATGTTTTCATTGTATGTTTATGTTTAGTTTATGTTTAATTTATATTGTGACTACCATTGGCTCAAGGGAATTAAGTTAATTAACCCGGTACATGACCCGTTAAATCCGTGCACATGTGTAGGAACTTTCGCTCTCGTCCACTTTAGAACACTTTTTGTAATCTTTTTCTGGTATTTTGAACCCGAACGAGTTTTATACATCAGCATGATGCAAAAAATGCAGAAATATTATTTTGAAGTGAGCGTTAGCGAAAGCTCCAATGTATGAACACGTACACACATGTTTGCTATCATATACCCTGAGGCACTGCGCTTAAGACCGTCGCGCGTGTTAAGCTACTAACAAATTTCAACGTGCTTGGGTGTCTGTAATGGATTCAATCTTGCAGTAATCCATTACAAGCAGGACGCGCGGCGCGTTAGCGCCGCGCTGTCGCGGCCCACGGTTTCAAACGGCTTAAAAGTGTGGGTACCGCGCGCGTGGCCTTCGGTGACGAAAGGCTTAAAAAACGTTCGGTGACCAAAACCTTCGGTGATCAAAAGCTTAAAGGGCCTTCGGTTACCAAAGACTTAAAATGCTTTCGGTAACCAAAGGCTCAAAAGGGTAGGCACCGCACGCGTGGCCTTCGGTGGCCAAAGGCGCAAAAAGGCGGGTACCGCACGGGTGGCTTTCGGTGACCAAAAGCTCAAAAGGGTGGATAGCGCACGCGGGGCCTTCGGTGACCAAAGGTTCAAAAGGGTGGGTTCCGCAAGGCTTGTTAAGGTAATTAAAGTTATCCGGTTCGTTAAAGCACTAAGTTCTTGAAGTTTAGCAAGGAGTAAAGCTGAAGGTGGGAACTGGGAACCGGTTTAATAGACGAAGGTTTTCACAGGTGAAGTTACTAAGGTTCGGAAACTTTGCGAGGGCAAAGGCGTAAAAGGACAGGTTTAAGGGGCTGCAAAACTGATGAGGCAGTCCTGGGCATCGATATCCTGGCTGATCTGGTAGATCTGGCTGTTTTGGCAGATTGGTAGATTTAGCTAATTAGGTGAAAGTTTGCTACGGTGCTAAGGTTTCAAAAGCGTCAGCAATAAGACAATAGGTATCAAAAGCGGAAAAGGCTCAAAAGCCGTAAGGCGGGTTCTGGCCAATCAGGAAGATTTGGGGGCGGGAGTGTGACGCACAGACAGCTCTGCTTTAATATAATGATTGTCCCGGTTGTATTGAAACGGCCCGCGCTGAAGCTCGGGCTTGGATTCGGAGTCGGATTACTCAAACTTGGACTTGGATTACTCAAACTTGGACTTGGATTCGGAGTCGGATTATTCAAACTTGGACTTGGATTACTCAAACTTGGACTTGGATTTGGAGTCGGATTACTCAAACTTGGACTTGGATTCGGAGTCGGATTATTCAAACTTGGACTTGGATTACTCAAACTTGGACTTGGATTTGGAGTCGGATTACTCAAACTTGGACTTGGATTTGGAGTCGGATTACTCAAACTTGGACTTGGATTTGGAGTCGGATTACTCAAACTTGGAATTCGATCACTTGGACTTTGGTCTGCTAACTCGGACTTGGACCACTCAGCTTGCACTCTGGAACAACTGATCCGTGATTTGCAGCGAAATGGCAGCCGTCACAGACGTTCCATTGCATGTCGCTAAATTGCCAGTTACAGAAATTTCGCATCGGACGAGACGCGAACAGGAGACATAGGGCAGTGTGCGCTAACAATTCAGAGCGATTACGATTCCGATTAAGAAATTTCCTCAGAGAAATTTCTTAATCGGACAACTTCTTAATCGGTTTGTTAATCGGACCGATTAAGGAAATTCGGGAATTTTGCAAATCGGAAATTTCTTAATCGGTAGTGATTAAGAAACTTCTCTAGGAGGTGGCTTGAAATTGGCCAATAGCAGCGTTCTG